TCCATGGTGAAAGCCGATCCGGCGATCCACAGCGCAAAGTTGTTGTATTTCCTCAGCAACCAGCACGGATCAGCTCCAGGCATGACTAAGCGGATATTGTCCTCTTTTGGAAGACCAAACAAAGTAGTTTCGCTTTCACAACGAAGCACACAGCGCCTTCACGACATGGTGGTGGCAACAACAATACTACAGCGAGAATAAAAGTTACGCCTTCTTTCTTTGCGTGAACATTTGGGCGGTGTTATGCAAATATTCCCAGATAGTGAAGTAGGTATGTGGGGGCGTGTTAGAATGAGCCATTTTAGGTAGGTGTGGCTGACTCTTAACTTTAATAAGGAATATCTCTTTGGATTTGAGACTTTAGTCTTTGCAACTTTACAGATCTTCTTTATGCACCAAGAGCTTGAAACACTCCAAAGAGAAAGGAAAAATTTTAAATCACATCATATGACCCCTTTAAATAGTCTTTTTATGTTGTCTTTTATGTAATTTCTTGTTCTAAATATGGCTGACAAGATTTTTGTGAACTGTTAAGGCCTTTCCTCACTGAGCACGAAAAAGCAAAACGAATACCGGACGCGATGACGTGCTGGAATAAAACAATAGATTTCTATGGATGCTTCCACATAGACTGCGAACAATCGTGCACCGAAAATGCAAATGTTTTTTTACTAGTCCGACGAATCTTTTAAGTTTCGCAAAGCGAAATCACGGGCCGTCCAATAAGATTTGAGCATTAAGGCCTTTCCACACTGAGCGCGAAAAAGCGAAAGATTATCGGACGCGATGACGCGCTGGAATAAAACAATAGATTTCTATAGATGCTTCCACATAGACCGCTTTCTTCCACGTGCGCCAGTGTTATGAGTCAGAGCGCGTTCACTCTTTTTCTACACATGAAATATGAAAGCAAATAGACATTTGATTGTGACGATATTTTCTGTATGTGTTTTGTATGCAGCTCATGGTATTTTTATAGCAATAAAGGAAGTTTATGACAAATATTAGCAGTGTAGGGTTATTAAACATACAAAGAGTGCATGTGTCTGCTTATTAATCAAAATCAACTATCACAACTGGAAGTTATTACAAGCACTTGATGATGGTTTAAAGTGGGTAAGCAAATACATTAATAATTACATACATTTTCAATTGTAGCTTGCTTGATGCTAATTGTACTTCTAATTATACTTTAGGATGTAGCCTATTCTTGTAAGCATTATAGATAGTTTGTTTCTGGTGTAGAACCTTGTTCATCTGAATTTAATGCTGTATATTGAGCAGCGGATGATGTTAAATCCATTTACGAGATACATGCATTGTTGGTCGGCGCCACCTAGCGTGCAGGTGTGAATTAGCAGAAGGCGAACTATCGTTTCGCATTCGGTGTGAAAGCACCGTTCGTCGGCGATTCGCTTTTTCGCATCGCGCTCAGTGTGGAAAGGCCTTTGCATCGTTTCGAAAACCAGTTTAAACTACTGTAACTAAATGACACGTTAGTGGATGTCTTCTGCAAAAATGTATGATAGTCATTTTTGCTCAGAAAATTTAAGACATTCTAATGTATGAAAAACCTTTGACCCATATATAATAATAATACTCTTAAAACAATTTCATAAAATAGGAGGCTAAACTTTGTGTAAAGCTTCATTTAGAGGAAACAACAAGAAGCAAAGTTGTTCCAGATGAAACCATGATGACATTGTTCACAGATTATTTTCCTGCCAGTCTTTTTGCAGTTACTGCACTTCCTTTTTGTAACTGTAAGTTTCTCTAATGGCAGGGCAGGTTAAAACATGGGTATCACATCACAAACCTTGTTTGCCTGTTTTAGTTAAAACTTTGGACTGAGTTGTCCAAATCATAAACTTTGTACAAGTTAACTTATTGTAAAAATGTGTACTCTGAGTAATGAATTGTTTAAAAAAAGGAACTCAAGGGGACTTTACTTCAGATGTGCGAGTATATTAAGATTCAAAAACCACAAGCACATTTCAGAAGTATAATTACATACACAGTTAGTGAGAAGCCAGTCAACACAAGAAGAAATAAATAAACATTTACTTTCATTATTCCGGCTTTAGGTTTTGTGTCTGTAATCATTGGAGAACTGATCATGTTTTCAAGACATTTTAAGTCTTATTTTGATGTAACAAAGTGATTATATCTAAGTGTGTGAGTTATTTACTTACTTTTTTAAATGAGTCTTCCCATTAACGACATTATATTGTTCATTCAGACTGATTCGCGAATGCATGAACACAAGAGGCGAGAATTATAGCATGAACCAATCACAGCCGAACATAACCAGTCATATCCAATCATATTGCGATGGAGGCATTGTCTCCTCTCACGTGATTTTCCCCCATTCATTCTCAATTACCCCCCCACCAAACTCACAGTACGCTTTAGGGGGTCAGTTAAAACTCAATGGGCTCAGGGGAGGCGAGAGAGACACAGACTCCTGCTGTAACTTAACCTGCTGATGTCACTGTTGGACAATGTTTCTTTAGAAAAACAAGTGATTTATACTCTTTTTAATATTATATTTTATAATATTGGCGTTGTTTTATTTTTTCTACTACAAATTTTTTGGGGAGACAATTCTGAGGAGACACTGCCTCCCTTGCCTACTCGGAGGAAATGCCCCTGCTATAGAGTAGTATTGCATCCATATCTCAGAAGAGTCTTTAGTTTTTTCAGATTTATAAAAGACAGATACAGCTGTACCGCTTCTCTCCAAAAACAGTCAAGCTTCCAGAGTCGTGCCATGGGCGCTTTTGTGTAGCAATCATCTGCAAGCTGTGACATCAACATAAATAAAACAGGAACAAAACCTTTTTTTTAAAAACTTAAATCCTGTGCAGCACTGCCGACGACTTCCATAACCCGAATGAAGCAAGTTGATGGGTGTGCTCTTGCTCTCCCTCTGGTTGATGTGAAATCTGACCACCAGCGTGTGCCTCCCGCTCGATTGCCCATAAACCGGGGAACGAAACGAAGCAAAAGTGGCCACATAAACCTTTATCGTTGACGGCAGACTCTCGTTATCTAGCATGTGCTGCAGAAAACGTAGAACATCCGAAATGGGACAGCTTGCTGGGTCAGTATCTCTATCACAGCACCATTTCACAAACACTCGCCATTAAAGAGCATACAGACGCCTAGTAGAAGGTGTATGAGACTCAGTGTGTGTGTCAAGCACATGGGGAGGCAGGGTGCTCAGCCCCTCTAGGACCACTGATGTAGCCACACATGAAGGCTCCACAGCTCCGGGACTCTCTTCCCTGATTTTGCATAATACCAGAGAACGCATAGAGTCTGGCTCTCGGCCAGCACAATGTCAGAGTGTCTCCCCTCAGCGAGGAGTGAGACAGCAAAAATAACTAAGTACACTTCCTTCAGTTCCAAGTGGTTTATGTGCCACCTGCTCTGAGACTCTGACTACAGGCCTGAAGTCGGTAAACCCTCGCACACTGCTCCCCAGCCTGAGGTCGATGAATCTGTCGTAAACACAGTGAGTGCTGTCACCAGTCCCAGTTCTCAGCCACAACTGTAGTGGCCATATATGCAGAAGACCCAGGTGGCAAACTGATGAGGGTGACACCATTAGTCCCAGAAGCCTCTGAAATTTCCTCAAGGGAACAGAACAGCCTGGTCTGAAGCAGCGCAGAGCAGATGAAATGGTTGTTATGCGCTTTTGATAGAGGCGGGTTTGCATCTACACAGAGTCGAAACACACACCCAGATATGTTATAGACTGACTCAGGGTGAACATGCTGTTCTGCATATTCACACGTAGCCCTAGGGACTCCAGATGGCGAAGCAACTCGTCCGTATGACTGATAAGCACATCTCGTGAATGGGCTCAAATCAGCCAATTGTCCAGATAGTTCAGAATGAGCATACCGCTCGTTCTGAGTGGGGAAAGTGACGCATTTATGCACTTCGAGAAAGTGTCTGTGGCATGGTGCTATCTGAATATGAAAGTATGCATCTTTTAGATCTATGGATGTAAACCAGTCCCTGGGACAGATTTGTGCCAGGATCTGCTTCAGAGTTGTCATCCTGACACGCGCTTCTGAAGTGCTCTGTTGATGGGTCTCAGGTCCAGAATTGGACGGAGTCCCCCATCTCTCTTGGGTACCACAAAATAGCAGCTGTAAAACTCACTCTCCAGCTCACTCGTAGAGACTCGCTCTTACGCTCCTTTTGCGAGCAGGTTGTGAACATCCTGTCTCAAAATGGGCATTTTTAAGGCAGTGTCAGTGATGAACCACTCGATGGTGGTCTGAACTGGACGGAATATCCGTGCTCTATTATGCTCAGCACCCAGCGCGAAATGCCTGGAATAGCTCTCCACGCATCTAGGAACTAGCACCGAATCTCTGCGGTCACTATCACTGGCAATGATGTTTGTAGACTGGCGCCCAGCCCCGGCGAGGCTAAACGCACTGGTGGGGAAATGGCTCGTGGAGGACAACACTGGGAGGCCGTAACAGGCACAGACAGCGGCTCTGCGCTGCTCTGAGGCAGGGCGAGTAACGCCATATCAATATGATGAAGAGAAAACAGCTCTTTTTGTGAGGATGTTTGTGTTTTTATTTAACAAACATGAACATTGCATTTGTTGCCTACAGGAACAAGAGGGACATGATGCAGGATGCGGCGCTTGGGGGCCGGGCCTGCAGTGAGCTCTCTCCTCATCTTTGCCAGTCCGTCAGGATGAGGGCTTGGCAGCCGAGGGCGGTCCGCTGTCACGGCGAGGGCTCCTCTGTCCATGGCGCCTTTTCCTGGGTCCCATCCACTGTTTGCAGCGAACACCCGGCTTATGTCAAGGACAGAGCCGTGGAGGATGCGGCAGCCTGCATAGCCGTTCTCTGAGAGGAGTAGGGTCAGTTAGGGTCATCCATAGGTACCTGAGAAGGACTATCATGAAGCCCATGGAATGACCGATGGCTTGAGCAGAGCGCTTTGTCGCCATCAGCGTGAAGTCCGTCCTCGCACGCAGGTCTTTCATGATGTTCGCATCCATCTGAATGACACAGATGCTCGGCGATGGTCTGCTCAACGGGGGGTATGCGCACATAGCCGTGGGCCTCTGCCCTGTCCATGTGGGAGAAGATGACCTGAGTGGAAGGGTGGACGCGTGCCGACTAGGGTGCAGACCACGACTTCTCATGGACATCCGGGAAGAACGGGACCTTCCTCCTTGAGGCAGCCAGGCAGCGGTTCGACTGGAAGTACCAAGAGTCAAGCTTACTCTTGGCAGGTTCCTCTGGAGAATTCCAGTTGAGGTCGAGCTCCTTAACAGTTTTCGCAAGGACCCTGGCGAACTCCTCCTAGAGGTCTGGCAAACTCCTCCTCAGTGTCGGGCGATACCTGCTCAGTGCATTACATACTGCATCCAGGCTTGTCAGTATTTGCATGCGATTTGTATAATTAATGATAATTAGCCAGTTAATTGTACTTGCGTTATCCGGTAAGGTTTCAGAATTTTGGAGAAGGGGAGGAGTTCCAACTGTGAATGCTTCGCAATGTACTGAAGAGTGAACACTTAAAAAGGAATCAGTCTCCTCTTGGCTTCTATCAAAATCCTCTGACATTTTTCTTTACAAATCCTTGTTTTATACTTCTAATTATTGACCGGTGTTTTGTTTTGCTCTCTCCTCTGTGCTTCCGCATTAGACACTTCACACTGGAGCTTACCAAAGCCAATGGATGGCAAGCCTGCAACCTTTAGCCAAAAAAAGCGCAACGGCTAATGCTAACGCTGCCACTTTGGCGGTATGCAGGGAAGAAGACCAGAGGCTGTTTTGTTTTAATCTATGTCAATAGAGGAGAGGCTTCACTATGCTGAATAAACAACTTTTGTGAGGAAACAGCTTAAACACTGGAGCTTACCAAAGCCAATGGATGGCAAGCCTGCAACCTTTAGCCAAAAAAAGCGCAACGGCTAATGCTAACGCTGCCACTTTGGCGGTAGGGAAGAAGACCAGAGGCTGTTTTGTTTTAATCTATGTCAATAGAGGAGAGGCTTCACTATGCTGAATAAACAACTTTTGTGAGGAAACAGCTTAACATTTAATGAATTGACAGCCTATCGGCTAGTCTTCAACATGTTTTACACTAAACAATAGTTTTGTATTTAATTATTTTTAGAGTTTACACCAAAAAAAAAATAGCAGTTTTATAAGAGAAGTCACAGACTTTTTGTGACAGGTGGGATTCAGCTTACGGTACTTATTCATTCCTATGGTATCCGTAAACGACAACTGACTGTCGCACAACTCTGACTGAAATTCAATTACATCAAGGCTGTTATGTGATTGGTTATCAAGGCGCATGTGATACAAGTTGACCATTACACTTTCTCCAATGGTAAGTAATATAGACCCTCGTATCCCTCGTATCCGCCGGAACGGCATTCAATTGTGAACGTGCATACGACAGTTAGTGGAAGCTAGAGATTATGGTTTATAAAGTTTTAAATATTTATATTTTTCTTAGCAAAATGCTTTGATTCGCTTTAGGAGGCCTTTATTCAGCCCCTGGAGCCGTGTGGGACACTTTTTTATTATGGTTGAATGCTACTTTATTGGACTTCTTTTGGACTATTGAAAAATAACACCCATTCACTGCCATTATAAAGCTTGGAAGAGCCAGAACATTTTTTTTATATAAATCAGATTCGATTTGCCTGAAAGAAGAATGAAAGAAGAATGTCATATACACCTAGGATGTCTTGAGGGTGAGTAAATAATGGGATAATTTTCACTTTTGGGTGAACTATCCCTTTAAGTCAAAGACTTTGCTTGAGAGGGCAAAGCGATTAACCATTTCAGTTCATTTCCAAAAACAACCCCTTATGTTTGTGTATGGGCCTTAGGTTTATATTTGAGAGAAACTGAGATTGTTAACAGGGATGTAAACTATACCTTTTGTCGAAAATCACCGTTTTGAATTAAAAATATGTAATTTTTGTGTGATTCATGTACTGTAGATCAGGATGAGTTGCTAATTCATACATCACTACAAAAAAAGTGCTAAAATTGTAAATGTTTTTAGTGGCTTTTAAAAAAAGGACTATATTAGGGAGTGAAAACGACAAATGAGCCAAATACGTGATCCTATGCTGCCATCTACTGGTTATAGAGGGAATATCATGTCATATTCATTTTTAAAGCATTTTCCAACAGGTGGCAGAAATGTTCCAATTTCCATTTTCCATGGATTATCTCTATGAATAAAAAAAAAATCAATAACCAAAAACTTCTTTAAAGTGAATTTTACATATACTGTTCTAATTATATATATAAAACAGACAAGGTCTCATCTGCAAACGGAAACACTGATCTTCCCTAACCCCAGGGCCGGACTAAGGGCTTGGCGCAAAGATGGAGGGGGCAAACCCAAGGGCCCCCTTTATAGTAGCGTATCTTGGTGCCACAACATTTTCTACCTCAGGAATAATAATAATTATTATAATTATAATAATTATTATTATTATTTAACAAATCTCAAACTATGAGTATGTATATAAAATATTCCCGGCTACAACACATTAAAAGCATTAATGCATTAACAGCAGATATTATGTCAACACAAAAAGGTTTCCAGAAACAGCAACAACTTTTCAGCATATGACTTCTATATAATGTTGTAAGTGTCATGTGTCAAAGTTAAATGGATCAAGCACTGCTTATCATTAACAGAGCAGTGAAATTGTTAGGCTAACTCCCGCTATGGTCTGGTCCAGCTGTTCTGCATGGTTTAATCAGGTAGCGCCGTTTCATCAGTTGGCTTTTGGCGTTTTCAACTCATGCGCTGCAGTAACAACCCTCTACGGACACCTTGGCAATTTAATCGCCATTGGCTAGTATATTTTTTTGTTTACTCGCCAGACTGAAATACTATACTATATTATATATATATATATTCACACTAGAGTTTACGTTACGCCAAATACACAAACACAGGTGCGCTGCACATCCATTCAGATGAACTGAAAAATATCACAGATCGCTTGACAGAGAGTGAAACTCTGAAGCGCTCAGTCAGAGTGTTCTGTGAGTGAAAATATATCTGTGCTAATCATATACTCAGCCTCCAACTCACACACTGGCGAGTAAAATCTGAGAATTTATTAGCCATTGGCTAATATTAGACATCATTTAGTCGCCCAGAGTGAAGATTTAGTCGCATATGCCAGTGATAGAAGTAAAGACGAGGCAATTAAAATACAGTATACCGGCAACTTTAAATAGTTTAAACGAGTACAAAGGCATTTTTATCGCTCATACCTTATAGAGAGAAATAGCACAGACACTGACTGGTCAAGAATTAATCTTTGCTACTATATGAAGAGGGCCCTTGGGTTTGCTATAGCCCCAGGGCCCTATGTGTTCTTAATGCGGGCCTGTCTAGCCCTCAGCAAATGTGCAGTTGAGTCCCTGGATATAGTTATGTATAAAAAGGTATAAAACACTAGCTTGCTCTATTCTTTTTCTATTCTATCTGTTTTCTTTTTATTTAGCCCTATTATATAATTTTAAAAAAGCCTTGCTACGTGTACTGCGTTAAGCTAACTGAGACTTGTTATAGCAGTTGCATATCTTTGCTCTCTTGTTGATTTTGATTGCTTCCATTGTCCTCATTTGTAAGTCGATTTGGATAAAAGCGTCTGCTAAATGACTAAATGTAATGTAATGTAAATTTAGTTGTGTATATAATTGTATAGAATACATATTTTTAAATTGTATTGCATACCTGTTGCTGTCATAATAATGACCCATTTCAAATGTTTACATGCTTTTCTTCTCTTTCTTCTTTTTGTTCTTAACAGCTCCCACTCGCTGTGGTGGAGCATTTATTAAACATTGTTCTTGTAAATACACTCTTAAAAATAAAGGTGCTTCAAAAGGTTCTTCAAGCGATGCCATAGAAGAACCATTTTTGGTTCCACAAAGAACCATTCAGTCAAAGGTTCTTTAAAGAACCATCTCTTTCTTACCTTTTTATAATCTGAAGAACCTTCTTTCACCACAAAGAACCTTTTGTGAAACAGCAAGGTTCTTCAGATGCTAAAGGTTCTTTATGGAACCATTTAGACAAAAAGGTTCTTCTATGGCATTGTGAAGCACCTTTATTTTTAAGAGTGTACTTTTCAGCATCTCAGTAATAAATATGCATACAAATTAGCGCGAAGTGCAACAGTTACTGTACGCTGCTCGGCTGTGGTCAAAAAGGATTTAAATGGTGAATTTTCAATTGATTTCTTCTTGTAAACTCAGAGATGTGGATTCGGACAGCAATTAAATTACCACACGACCTTGGTGTTTGTCAAAAAACAGTAGGTAATTTTGGCCGTGGATTTTTACGCAGGTGGTGGGAGAAAAACACAGACATTCTGGATTTGGACGGCAATAAAATCACAGACTAACCCCTGCAAAGGTTTAAAATAGCTTATGTCCCCATGAGAAATAATTACCGTCTGAATAGGGCTTATGACAACAAAACAAGGCTGCAAAGCAAGTCAGAACAAGGCTGCAAATAAACATGTTATTTCCTATCATATGCAAAATTATGCTCTTACTGAGAATGAAAACATTGTTACAAGGTCAATTTGGGCATGATTATTATTTGGGGGTGCTTTTTAAGAAAAAATATTGTTGCATATTGCTTGATATGTCAGCTAAATAATTAAAAAAGGAATATTTGTGGTGTAACTGTTCAAGATTGAGGGAGACTAAATGTATATGTTTTAGAATCTGCTATTGATATATCAATGCCCAAGGTGGTCACAGCTCTATGAACCATTTTCACAGACTGTTACGACACATTTCAACGGTCATCAGCATCGTAAATCCTGCAAAGCTTTTTATTGTGATGGTAAATTTGACATTGTTCTCTCTTCTGATTGCCGTGGAATCTCTCTCTATTTTGTCCTCATTTTGAGTTTTTCTGTTGCTATTTAAGCAAATAAACACAAACAAATATATATTTGATGTAGAAATTTACACAACTATGATTACTTCTGCTTCTGAGATGCCACAAAATTCAAAAGGGTCCAAGTGAAATAACAAGTCTCAGAATAACCCTGTGGTTCTCAATTCTGGTGGTGCTGTCCCACTGCTCTGCACATTTTGTATGTCTGATTTATCTAACACACCGTATGTAGATCATCAGGAGAGAGCTGCATGAACAGAACTGAGTGTGCCAGATAAGAGAGAAATGTGCAGAGCGGTGCGGGACCAACACCGGAAATTGGAAACCACGGCCCTACAGACTCACCACTGCTGCTTGTCATGAACCAGTGTTAGTCCCCATCTGTAAAGAAAATGAAAGAAATTTTACACACCACAAATTGTTTCTCTGTAAATGTATGTTAAAGGTATATATTGCTTTAATATATTTAGACAAGGATGCAAACTCCTGAGGGGTGAAAAATGTATAATAAATATATAGTGTTATATATTTGCATCTTTTACAAAAAATTGCATTTATTGAGAAAAAAGCTGCCTAATATTTGCTGAATTCAAAATAGCATACTACTTTTACTTCTTTAACATATCTTTATATAGCAGAAATAGTACGCGTATTATGCTGGTATGCTGTTCTGAATTCAACCATTGTTTCATTTTCAGTCATGTCATTGTCACATGTTTGGCTGCTGTGGGGTCAGTAGTGCAACTGTCACAACCATTCTTAACAATGTGTTTGCACATAACCATGTCCTGTCAGTTTGCATCCCTGCTTATGAGTGAGAGTAAGCTCTTGAGTAGAGGTAGTGTTAAGGTGCTCTCAGTTCATTACGGTGTGGGTGGATGCAGTTTGCTCCGGCAACCATTATAGAGCTTAAGCTCTTTGACAGGATATTCCCTCTCACACTGAGAACCCTGAAAGAACAGAAGCAGTTTTAAATTGATTATGCTTATTCATATGATTATACACCAGCTACACACTTTTACACACACACACACACACACACACACACACACATACACACCTGCAGTTCCTTGTGAAGTCTGAAGGTGGTGCCAGAAAGCTCACAGTGACGACTGTGTAAGTTTTTGCTACTTTCATTTTTAACCTCACAAACAGGCAAGGGTCCACTTTTACAGAGATTCCCTATATTCTCTACACACACACACACACAAATAAGCAAACAACTAGTGCACTGCTGCTAAAATAACTTAAACAACGTTAAAGCAGTAGGCTATTATATAGGATGTCATTTATTGCAGTTGTTTATTCACTTAATTTTTGGACGTTCTTTTTTGCACCATATTATGTACACTAGACTAACAGTCAAAAGTTTGGAAGCACTTCATTTGAGTCAAAAATGTTTCTTGTGACCTTAAAAACCTTTTTCGAGCCAAATGTATATGGCTAAATGTTTGGGATTAGTTTTGTAGACAGCCAATAAGTGAATTGAAAATTAAAAAGTATTCTCAAAAAGCATTTCAGAAACTACAATAACAAAATCGAAATTGTACATGAGAATTTAAGAGTATTTTTTGTGTTTTCTAGAATTGAAATTTGCAATTACATTTTCATACTTTTTTCACCATTCTCATTAATTATGATGACTGAATTGATTTTCAAAGACACTATGCATTGGTGTTTGCATGACGAAACATACCCAGGTACCTCTTGATGCTGACGATATAATGATTCCTCTTGATCAGCAGGTGAGAGTGACAACTAAGTGAGAAATAGATTGGCAGCACCCTTTCCTGGTAATGCAGAGTCCTCTCTATTATAAAACAAATCAGAATACAATGAAAACATTCAACCAACTGAATTTCTTAATTTCTAAGTACATCAACGGCCACAGAAACCACATTCAAAGTCACATTCAACAGACAAGGTCTCATCTGCATAAGGCTAATTCACACTGCACCAACAGCCAACTGCGTACATTGTGTCACTACTCAGACTTTCCATGACCCAAGAAACACAGATTCAACTTGTTCAGTTGGCAAAAACAAGCAACAACAGCAACAGATGGCAACATGGGTATCACACTGATACAAAAAAACCCGACGACTGTGTTTGTTGCCATTAATTTGCCTGTGTCTGTTGGTGCAGTGAATTTGCTTATACTGTGCATTTTGAACGTGACACCATGTTTTTGTACTACAGAATAGTTTGTATTTTGTGTGGAATTTTGCATTTGAAATTGGTAGCTGTTGTCTCTTAAAGCAAATCATCATGGCACTTAGAATGAATACACAAATTAATCAGAAAAACAACTAAAATAAAAAAGGGTGAAATCTCACCCATGTCCTCTTTCTCTAGAACTTCATAGCAGCTCCAGTACTCTTCATTGGCCTGCTGAATTCCTTTAAGCTCCAAAACCACAGAAACCAACTTGACTACTGTCATATCTGCTGCAATCTAACAAACACAGTACACACAAAGAAAATCTTCATCTACAAAGATCTTACACTAACTGAGAAGAAGTCCACAAGTAAGGTACTTAAGTACATCAATTTAAGTTCGTGTTAAAATAAATATCCACCTGAACAAGCACCTCTGCACCCTCATCTTTCTTTTCCAGGTAAACAACACAAATGGTGCTGGATGGAGTTCGACTCAAGGGCCTCTGAAATATAATAAAGTCAGCCATTAAAGTCAAATACCAGCTAAACAAAACAACTTTTCAGTGTTACTGTACTATTCAGTAATATCATCAAAGCCAGCTAATCAACATGAGGAGTTATTTAGATATTTCATTATGTATTGCAAAACAGCATTCAAAAAAAGCTCTTAATGTAACAGTATTTGAAAAAGAATGTGTTTTTTGAACATTAAAGCATGTCAACATATTCTGTTACACCAAATATACAAAATATTGATCTTTAAAATAGCATCATATGACCCCTTTAAAGGTTTAACTGAGTACAGTTAGTACCGATATTAACAGACTCACATTAAAAATGCTGCAGTAGTTTTGGATCAGTTCCTCCACCACCTGAGATCCTGTGACATCCGTTCCATCTGTCTGAAAAAGTGTTGGACCGAACACGATACCAAGGTTTCGTATAGTCATCTGATTCTCATCAGACAGGTGCTGAACACTGACAAAGCAGACATTTCAGGTCAAGTTTTTGGATGTACTACTATCAATAACTACATACTCCTCCTTATGATCAATTCAAATCAATGGAGTACCAGAACAATTCAAAACAACTTTTCAAAGTAGGATAAAAACTCCCGTCTAGTTTTAGAGCTGCTTAGATGTCATCAGAAAGAAAATTATGGAAGACAGAGGACAACTAGTGTTTTATAGTGGTTTGGGTAGTACTTTGTAAGTTTTAGACAGCTGAGCAGGTCAGATGACTTATAACATACCAAACCAGGTGGTGTATGAGTGCTTTGAGTGTTTCTCTGTTAACTTCTGGGAGGTTTGAAAGGAGAATCTGGTATCTATGAATCTTCTCGCTTCTGTCCTCAAGACCTGCCGAGAGTTAAAAAAGGACTTGTTACAATAGTGTTCAACTACTCCCACTTTCTAAGTAGTATTAAATATCTCATCTCACATTACTCCACTTTTTATTCACCTGCTGCTCTAAGCCAGCTGTTGCTGTTTTCTTGTCCATTAAAGACTCCATCTTTGACCTCCCTGAGAAATCGCTTCAGTGTGTTAGCCACGTCATCCACAGAATAGTCTGATTCACGCAGTGTTACACTTCGTGCATTATTTTGAAACCTCTCCAACAGTTTGGTCACATGAGAATTAATCCCACTCTTCCGGTAGATTCCTGATGACATCAGTCCTATAAGAAAGAAATGTGACATTATCTTTGTGTTACAGCATTCATTTGTGACCCTGGACCACAAAACCAGTCTTAAGTCTCTTGGGTATATTTGTAGCAATAGCCAAAAAAAAAACATTGTATGGGTCAAAAGTATCGATTTTTCGCCAAAAATAATTAGGATATTAAGTAAAGATCATGTTCCATGAAGATATTTTGTAAATTTCCTACCGTAAATATATCAAAACTTAATTTTTGATTAGTAATATGCATTGCTAAGAACTTCCTTTGGACAACTTTAAAGTTTTTCCTCAGTATTTTGATTTTTTTCCACCCTCAGATTCCAGATTTTTAAATAGTTATATCTCGACCAAATATTGTCCTAACCATACATCAATGGAAAGCTTATTTATTCATCTTTCAGATGATGTATAAATCTCAATTTTGAAAAATTGACCCTTATGACTGGTTTTGTGGTCCAGGGTCACATTTTAGAAATTTCCGCTTTACTTCCTTCCTTTTAGGAGATAATCATTACATTTTGAGAGGTGTGATTTAATTGGTGGCACCATGAAGAAAGAACAAAACAAAAAAAAGGGTCAATTCCGACTTTGCTATGACAATCTGGCGCTTCTGAATCAGCGACTGTAAGTATGTTTTGTTATTAGTTTAAGTATTTGCTATTGACTGTTCAAATGCGGAGTTTTGCGCAGCGCAAAGTAACGCGTTGTGTGTGTGTGTGTGAGGGGAACAGGGTCACATCACAGGAGAGTGAACTGCCTGTCAGAAATCATAGCACGTCAGCTGTCTTAACCGTGGCTTGTGTACTGCATCATCACTGTGTCTGTCACGCGACTCTGTTGCCCTTTCGGGCTTGAACTGATAGTAAAACTAATGACATTATTAACTGTCTTGATATACTTTGAAAGCTGAATCTCGCGATTATGGTAAGGGGCGTTACATTTCCGACGCGTGCTTGTGGTGTTTGACCAATCACAATTCACTGGGTCAGCTGGCCAATCAGAGCAGACTGCGCTTGTCAAAGGAGGGGGCTTTATTGAAAACGACGCATTTGGGAGAGACGGGGCATAGAGGACCTACAATAATTAACAGTATTTGAAAAAGAATGTGTTTTTTGAACATTAAAGCATGTCAACATATTCTGTTACACCAAATATACAAAATATTGATCTTTAAAATAGCATCATATGACCCCTTTAAAGGTTTAACTGAGTACAGTTAGTACCGATATTAACAGACTCACATTAAAAATGCTGCAGTAGTTTTGGATCAGTTCCTCCACCACCTGAGATCCTGTGACATCCGTTCCATCTGTCTGAAAAAGTGTTGGACCGAACACGATACCAAGGTTTCGTATAGTCATCTGATTCTCATCAGACAGGTGCTGAACACTGACAAAGCAGACATTTCAGGTCAAGTTTTTGGATGTACTACTATCAATAACTACATACTCCTCCTTATGATCAATTCAAATCAATGGAGTACCAGAACAATTCAAAACAACTTTTCAAAGTAGGATAAAAACTCCCGTCTAGTTTTAGAGCTGCTTAGATGTCATCAGAAAGAAAATTATGGAAGACAGAGGACAACTAGTGTTTTATAGTGGTTTGGGTAGTACTTTGTAAGTTTTAGACAGCTGAGCAGGTCAGATGACTTATAACATACCAAACCAGGTGGTGTATGAGTGCTTTGAGTGTTTCTCTGTTAACTTCTGGGAGGTTTGAAAGGAGAATCTGGTATCTATGAATCTTCTCGCTTCTGTCCTCAAGACCTGCCGAGAGTTAAAAAAGGACTTGTTACAATAGTGTTCAACTACTCCCACTTTCTAAGTAGTATTAAATATCTCATCTCACATTACTCCACTTTTTATTCACCTGCTGCTCTAAGCCAGCTGTTGCTGTTTTCTTGTCCATTAAAGACTCCATCTTTGACCTCCCTGAGAAATCGCTTCAGTGTGTTAGCCACGTCATCCACAGAATAGTCTGATTCACGCAGTGTTACACTTCGTGCATTATTTTGAAACCTCTCCAACAGTTTGGTCACATGAGAATTAATCCCACTCTTCCGGTAGATTCCTGATGACATCAGTCCTATAAGAAAGAAATGTGACATTATCTTTGTGTTACAGCATTCATTTGTGACCCTGGACCACAAAACCAGTCTTAAGTCTCTTGGGTATATTTGTAGCAATAGCCAAAAAAAAAACATTGTATGGGTCAAAAGTATCGATTTTTCGCCAAAAATAATTAGGATATTAAGTAAAGATCATGTTCCATGAAGATATTTTGTAAATTTCCTACCGTAAATATATCAAAACTTAATTTTTGATTAGTAATATGCATTGCTAAGAACTTCCTTTGGACAACTTTAAAGTTTTTCTCAGTATTTTGATTTTTTTCCACCCTCAGATTCCAGATTTTTAAATAGTTATATCTCGACCAAATATTGTCCTAACCATACATCAATGGAAAGCTTATTTATTCATCTTTCAGATGATGTATAAATCTCAATTTTGAAAAATTGACCCTTATGACTGGTTTTGTGGTCCAGGGTCACATTTTAGAAATTTCCGCTTTACTTCCTTCCTTTTAGGAGATAATCATTACATTTTGAGAGGTGTGATTTAATTGGTGGCACCATGAAGAAAGAGATGTGCATCTAGTACTTAAGTAATAAAAATTTAAGACAGTACAATAGCTGCCAATCAGCTGCCTGACCAGTAAATAAAATTAACCAGAAAGGTTGGCTGCCCTAACAATCACCTAGATCAGCACAGTAACCACATAGCAACTGTGCAAGAAAAAAAACACACACAAAAAACACTCAGAAAACCTTAGAAACTGCATAGCAACATTCCAGCAATAACACTGTAGCATCTCTGTGACTGTCATATATTTCCTTAATTAAACTTTAATTTTTCATTTCTACAACAATGTTTGTGCATTCTTCTGTAATGTCAATGTGTGTTTGTATACCATAACGTGTTATATGGTCCAGGCAGCGGTCAATAGTCACAGGGACACCCAGATCAGTGAGTTGCTGTTGTGATAGTGGCTGATCCCCAGCACCAGATCTCTGCTGAATGAAGGTCTGCCAGCCCACAAAATGAGGCCTTCGGTCAGCCAGCAAATGCAGAGGTCCACCTCTCCACACAAGTACCATGGAGCCAGCACTGTCAGAGAGATCTACATACACATTCGCACTCAGAGTAAATTTATATAGACACCCACATTTTCATACTGTCACATGACTGTGTGTATGTGAGCTGTAACTCACTGATTGTGAGTAGCTTGCGCAGGTCGATTGCTTGTACATTGTCTTCCAGTAACACCTGCAGTTTGAAGGTGCTCAGGCAAAACCAACCGATGCCATGGTTGCCCTCAGTGCAGCGCAGGCGACCCAGACGATCACAGGTTCCACACATATCAAACAGTTCAGGAGGCAGCACAGCCTGAATGGAGGGAAGAGAAGAAAGGGAGAGAAGTGGGTCAGTTTATTTGTCTCCAACTCCAATATAGTAAAAAAAAAAATTGTTCCATCTTTACAGAATAATGCAAGGAAGGCTGCAAGGAAGGAGATATGAATATTTAGAAATGAAAAAACAACAACTTTTTTATGCTTTTGAAACAAGTCTCTTATGCTCACAAAATTATTTGATTAAAAAATACAGTAAAACAGTAATATTACAAATGATTATTATAGTACATTATTGTAGTTTAGTAATATTATAATATGTTATTTATAGTAATATTAGTAACAAATTATAATATGTTATTATTTATAGTAATATTATAAATGTTATTTATTCCTGTAATGGCAAAACTGATACCTTAGCACCCCCTTGTGGGCCAGTTTAAAAAAAACTCTAGTACAGGGTTTCAAACTCAATTCCTGGAGGGCCGGAGCCCTGCAGAGTTTAGATTCAACCCTAATTAAACACACCTCATCCAACTAATCAAGTCTTTCAGGCTTATTTGAAAACTACATGGTCTATGTGTTGGCGCAAGGCTGGAACAAAACTCTGCAGGGCGTTACTATATTGGCTCTAATCTGAAGCATTTGTTTGCAATTCAAATGACAAAAGTGTTGATCACCATGGCAATAGCCCTGATCCAGTTCTTGACGATGCTGCCATCATCAGTTCCAAACAGGTAGACTCTCCCCTCCTCAGAGTACAGCTCAAACGTGTGTTCATAGCTGCCAGCCAATTAGAGAGGACATGGTAAATATGGCATTTCAGAATTAATGCAGTAAAAATAAACTCATTTAGGATCGAAGGTCAGGGTTTATTACCCATGTTTCCCTGGGCTGTTGACAGACAGGCAGATGATTTCACTGGTCTTCATGCCACCACACTTGTTGTGACTCTGTTCACTCTTAAAGTAGCTAAACATTCCATCACCAAGGCAACACCAACGCTGAGAGAAATCTACAATATTGACCACAACAAGGCTCATACACATACAGACACAAGGCACTCCAACAAAACATATAATATGTATATACTCATTTATTTGTAATTGAAAAACACTAGAACTTGCCATGAATACTTGTAGATTAACTCACAGATGTAAGCCTATGGTTGCCGTGATTTTGCCAAGTAAGACATGTTCCTGGATCAACATCTTTTGTTGATCCTGGATCAACATAACTGTCCAAAAATATAGACTTAACCCAATCCCTACCCCTAAACCTAACCCAACCCATAATTTATTCCTAAAAACAGTGTGAAATGATAGCTGATTAACAAGGGTGTAGAAGCACCTAACCCTGATTGTAAGCCTAAAACAGATATTTCCTGAAAAGTTATCCCTCAATTCTGATTGATGGTTGATAGGAATGTTGTTCCAGGATCAGCAAGGATGTTGATCCAGGAACATGTTGTACATGGTGAAATCACGGTCACCGTAAGCCTATAAAGCCTATAGCATGACATTTTACAATTTCCAAAAACAGTTTAAAGGATCATATAATTTAAATGTCATTATAGAAGTTAAACCAAATTTTAAATTGTGGTTATTCTACAATTATAAAGTTTTATAAGATTTTTTAAAAATTCACAATTATGTAGGTGCTTTTGCTTTCAAAAAACAAAACAAAGAACTATTCTAGAAATATTAATCATACATTGTAAAAATATTTTGTTGTATGTGCATATATATATATTCATTTTATAAGTGGTAAAATCCACTTTTAATTTGAATCAAGGTTCTTGCATAGTACAATGAACGTTTCATCTCAAATACCAAATAAAATTAGACTTTTGATAATATAAAAGTGTAATTTTAGACTTTTAAGTGTTTTTGGAAGTCAAACACATCCTCACAAACACACAAAACTTAATGTCACTGAGATTCAGTTGCCAGTCATCATACAGCAATTTAGGGGCTCCACATACCTGCTTTGGTTTTGTGGTCTGTGACTGGCCGAGTTGATGAGGCGGTCTTAAAAAGATAGCCAGACTGCGATCGAATGGACACATCTTTATCCACTGGCGTAAACGACTCTGATGAACAACAAATCAAGATGAGTGTGAACCTCTGTATCTAAACACATATACATTGTGGTTTTGAATGTTTATTTGTGCACCTGAGTTCAAATTCTGCATAAGTAGCTCCGCCTGTACTGTTTGGCCACTGCGTTTGGCCAGAGACAGTGGAGTAGGGAATTCTGGGATACCAGTGTTGCAGCTGATGTCCGCCCCACAATTCAGCAGCGAGAGAGTCTCTAACAAATCACCAGACTGCACCGCTGAACACAGAGCCTAACAAACCCAGAGCAACCCATTATGAGAGAAGAACCTTCATTTGTTTTGCATTCACTGTTATTTATTTGGCATTTGTATTGAATTGACTAACACTGTTGAGTGCCTCCTGTTGGCCATAGAGTGTGTGGTATTTGCGATATTTTCCATCTTTGTATTTTGCTGTGATGTGTTCAAGACGTTGCTCGCTGTTTGCGCTCGCACAAAGACTCTCACTCGGGGGAATATTCACTCCCCAGAACTGATTTGCTTTGCCGTTACCCAGCAGCAGAAAAACCTGGCAACACATAATGAGATTCTCATGCATCATCCTGAAAGAGAAAGGCACAATGGCAACTGCAAAGCATAAATATAACTCTCAGATGTAACTGTGGCAACACAAAGATTGGGATACATTATATTCATTGTACCCTGATGAGATCATCAGTCCACACTCGTTCATCCAGCTTCAAACTGCGAACCTTTGACACGTTCTGGCCCAGACTTCTGTGTGCGCCTGTTATCACACAAATGTGTACACATTTATGAGCCCACATACAGTACATACACCAGCTGTCATTTGTTAATATTTGTGTAAGTGTTTGTATATACCTGCACATTTTTCACACAGCAGAACACACAGGTTGATTGAAGCCCACTCCGGCATCGAAGAGCTGCAGTCCGCACACAAACGGTTTGATGGCACACGCCAAATGCTTTCACACAACCCATCACATGACAGAGCGCGACTCACACACTCTTTAAGCACCTCACACCATCTCTGCTTCTCACTCTCTGAATCCACCATAAAACTACAGAGAGAGAAAGAGAGAAACACATACAAATGCAATTAGGGGGCTGGTGCATGTATTTTTCATTAATGTAGTGAAGTAGTTTATGGTTTCATTAAGTTTACGGTCCTGACAGATTTTGATAAAGTATGGAAAGCACATTGTTTGTGACTGGTATAGTTCAGTGAATCTACTTGAAGAAACGTCAGGGAATAACACTTGGCACTGCATTTGTTCCTCAACAAAATAAAACCACACACTGGAAAAATCATACTCCTAATCAGCTTTCCAGGAAAAATGTCTAAACATCCATAAAACTAATTTAAGCTGGCTGTTCACTTGTTAAATAAATAAATAATTTTATTTTCTGCTCTTGGTCCACATTGTGTATTGAGTCCAGAGCTGCCCACTTGGACAGGAAAAGATTGTCTGACTGGTATGTGAATTGACGCTATAAAACAATATTGGAAATGTATACAGACCCTGTGATCAGGCAATCTGATTAGAGCTTCACAATACTGTTATTATTGTTAACTAAACCTACAGCTATTAAAAATTGTGTTCGGTAATTGAAATAAAGCTGAATTCAAATAAAATTAAATTGCAATAAATCGCGCTACCAATGGTGATTTAATCTAAATTAGCTCATATCACATCAAACCGTGCAAATTATTATTATTGCTATAATTTATTCTCAAATGATTAATATTAACAACATCAGCATTGCATATAGTGTATATTAGCGTGCAGATTTCAATTTCTGTACAGTCTAATCTCTAATTGTCATACCATTCGAATTTCATATTAAGAAATTCTTTTAACCCAAAAAGCAAATTATGCTCCCTTCAACCCTGTTGTCTTTAAAATACAAATCTTGTGCAATCCCAGGCTATCTGTAATCAGAAGCACATTTAAAACTGGAATATAATTTAATTTCATTCACATGTGTTTCATAAACACATAGTCCTTTCTGGATTACAATCCGCCATCAAAATGATGCATTTAATTATTCCAGCTGCTGTGAGAAAAGGCTATAAACGATCGGCCACCTGCAGCATCCTCACATGCGATATAGCCTTTGGCCAGGATGCCGGGGTTACACCCCTACTCTTTTTTGAAGGACATCCTGGGATTTTTAATGACCGCAGAGAGTCAGGACCTCGGTTTAACGTCTCATCCGAAAGACTGTGCTTTTTGTCAGTAGAGTGTCCCCATCACTACACTGGGGTGTAAGGACCCACACAGACCACAGGGTGAGCACCCCCTGCTGGCCTCACTAACACCTCTTCCAGACCTCCTTCTTTTGAACACTGGGTGGTTATGTACTTGCTCAAATATTGATTTCGGATCATTTTTAACCAAAAAAAGTTACAGACTGCAGCTTTAAGTTGAAGTACTAAAATAACTATAACTGAAATAAAAAAAGCTATATGAAAAACAAAACAAAAACATAGCCTTTGGCCAGGATGCCGGGGTTACACCCCTACTCTTTTTTGAAGGACATCCTGGGATTTTTAATGACCGCAGAGAGTCAGGACCTCGGTTTAACGTCTCATCCGAAAGACTGTGCTTTTTGTCAGTAGAGTGTCCCCATCACTACACTGGGGTGTAAGGACCCACACAGACCACAGGGTGAGCACCCCCTGCTGGCCTCACTAACACCTCTTCCAGACCTCCTTCTTTTGAACACTGGGTGGTTATGTACTTGCACAAATATTGATTTCGGATCATTTTTAACCCAAAAAAGTTACAGACTGCAGCTTTAAGTTGAAGTACTAAAATAACTATAACTGAAATAAAAAAGCTATATGAAAAACAAAACAAAAACATTACAAAATTACTAAAACTTAAACTAAAATTAAAATAAAAACTAATAATATAAAAATAAAAGCTAATTCAAAATATTAATAAATGCTATAATAGTATATAAAAATAACACTCTTGAACAAGTGCCTTCTAGTTTTGTGTGCAAAATGTGAAAAGCTGCAGTGTTTACCTGAATGCTCTGTACGGAGTGCTGAGCGTGAAAGAGCGCTTGTTTTCTCCATCTCTCACGTTGGCCATTCGCATGTCTAGTTCAGTGATGCCTAAACCCTGAAAATATTCCTATACACAATACATATAATCTATCAAATAAACCCACCAAAACATTTAGAGAGGCATCCATTCACATTCAGACTCACACCTCCTGGCTCCTGAAGAAGAACAGTTTGTCCTTGCTGAAAAGCGTGTAGACTTTGGTGCATGGCGACAACATCTCCAGGTAGCCCTCAATACTAATATTCACACTTCCATTCCTAAAGAACAGATTTCGGGGCTCCATACTATGTTTGCGATCACTCAGAATCTTTTCAATACAACACACCCAGTCATTTCTTTCCTCTGTAAAAAAAAAAAATTACACACAAACACACACATACAATAAATATGTATGTAAATGATTCATAGCCTGAATGTAAAAAACGAGGATGTGTAGTAGACATTTGCAATGTTGGGAAAAAATAGATGGACAAATACGCACGAGTAGATTCCGCTCGAAACAGAAAAGTCCGGCTCTGATTGTGGAGCTCAAATCGCAAGTCTCCGACACTGACCACCTTATCGATAGATCCCAGAGATACCATCCTTTTAGAGTATACTTCCTGTTACAGAGAGACACACAAGGTGTGTTACACAATTACGTCAGATCAAGTTTACTATCATGGAACAACATTTTTCACAGGGTCTGCAAACAGGACAATAAAGACTCATAACACAGTGAACAATGCTCCACTGCAAACTTTATACCCTACAGACAACAAATAAATACAAAAACAAAAGGGATACATATAGTATATATTTGGAAGGGGTACATATACAGTAAATTTGGAAATTTACTTGTCCCTAATTACCTTTGCCGTCATCTAACGCTCACTAAAGTACATTTTTAAAACCACTAATCATTTTTAAACACTGTTAAATGTTTATATTTAGCAATCTCAAAATGATTTTTTTTCATACAGTACATTATAATATAACTTCACCTGTAGTATTCAAAATGATAGTTTAGTTTATAGTGTTTTTTATTATTATTTAAACAAAACAGTAAACATTTTAATATTGGCCATTTAGTGGTTATCTGACATAATTATTGGATAATCAGTTTCAGCCAAAATTGAAAGAGTTCATTCAGTAGTAGTGATGATTATGATAATCCCCGGTTTTACAGACAAGGCTTAAGCCTAGTCACAGACTAAATTGTAAGTCTGAGCTTTTTCAACTTAAAGAAACTTGCACTGATGGATCTTAAAAGATGTCAGTGCCCTTGATTTGTCTCAAGATGCACACCAGTAATTTTAAGGAATGTTTATAAAAATGACTTAAATTGAACCGTGGCCTAATCCTGGCTTAGTTTTAGCCCTGTCTGTTAAACCAGGGGTCCGTTCTTCATACGTGGATTACTCGGTTAGCTGCATTTTATTGTTGATGATTAGACATGAACCAGAATTGTTCAGTTCTTCAAAGCTCATCCCGGAGTTGCTGTCATAGCAACCGGTCTGTTAGCTCAAACCTGCTCGGGAGCAGGCTTATTTCACATAAACAGGATTAGATTGTGTCATTTTAAGTAAAGATGATACTGAACGTCTGTCCCAGCCACTGTTATTTTCTTATGTTGTATTATTTCAATATCGGATGTCTCAATACCGACTGTGAGTCTCAGGTGCTTTCCAGTGGACAGTACCAATTAATTTCGGTGAACCAGAGAACTTTAGGTAGCTTCCATGAATATGACGTAAAGCACAAACAAGTTTGATATACTGTATGTCCCATGAGGACACCTGCGCCCAAAGAGAGGGTGAAATAAAGGTTATTTAAAAAAATAAATACAAATATAATCGTTACCTGGCAGGATTCCACAATTAGAACACTTTACAAACTTACTAGTGTACCTTATTAAACCAGTATAACATATATTTTTAAATAGGCTAATTAAATTTTTTTTTTGTGAAAATAATTTAAATGTTGCATAATCTATAAAAATTGACAGAGATAACAAATCCACTTTAAAATTAAATGAATTGCTAATTACAATACTCTTGACATTTGACATTGAAAAAAACAAAGCCTGTACAAAAAAAAGAAAAATCATTGGAAATCATTTTAAAAACGGTTACATATTAGATCTTTATGTCATTTTACTCGTTAGGCTGTTTCCTTGATCTTAATTATATGATGTCATTATATTGCTGTCTTGCTGCCAGCCAATCACTGCATTGCTGATCATGATTTTGAGTATCGACATATCTGCCCTTTCCAATGAACATGTCAACACAGATTAATTTCAGACAACTTAATCCAGATATTTTAATCAAATCCGCCAGAGATCAGTTATCACCATTAAAAGATCTGGCATCTGTCAAATCATCTCAGATGCATTAAGCAAGGTACGAAGAACAGACCGCAGGCCTATAAGTGCTATATTTGCTTAATCCTAACATCAGACAACTGAATGGCTTGCTAAATAGCAAAACATTTTGCTAGTCTGATTTGATCTTTGATTTAAACCGAAACCAAAAGGCTTCAACTTTCATATTTCAAAAACCCCTTTGATTTTTGTGTTAGTCATCACAACCTCTTCATTCCAATCATGGTCTGACTTATCATGTTTGTACTGTGAATACGTAACAACTTCCTTAAAGTAAATAAAAAAGGCAGGCCTTTTTACAGACATTTTGGAAGGACACTAGTGTCTAGTGAACTAGGAAATCTGGTCGACTGGATTTAATCTGAATAGAAGAATCTTGATAATCTTGATTGTTCACGATTATGAAATATTTAAAATCCCTTTTTGATGAAGGCATTTACTCAAATTACAGAATAGATGTTGGGATAGACAAAAAACGGACTATTTATTTTTACGTTACCTTGATGGATTGAAAATATCTCAAATATTCTGAATCCAGCTGCACCCATCGGCGCCGGTAAATCTTCCCACTGAAAATACAAACACGAATATTATGAAACACTTATAAATAAAGAAAATATAAACAAAACCACAGGATGTCAGAAAAGTTGTAGAAGGAATTTAAGCCACAATTGTTTCTTACCCTTTCGGAGGAGTTTTCTCTAGCCAGCCAGCTTTAAGAATCTGACGGAAATCCTCTGAGAAATCAGGAAAGTCTGTACATCGGATATCAATACTGTCCTCACTAACATAAACAAATTAATATTATTAGAAACAACAGAATAATTAAAATGTATTTTCCACTGAAGGCTTATGCAAGCACACACTCTGAAATAACTATCCACATAACAGTATTTTTTTTTTCATGCACACACCGTTCTCTCGGAATTACTGTCTCTTTTTTATCCTCTTCAACATTCAGGTTGTAAAAACACTTCTGCATGTCTCGCAATAGATCCTCCTGCTGGAAAACATTTAACCATTACATAGAACTGTTGATGAAAATGATAAATAAATACACCATTGTTCAAAGGTTTGGGGTCAAATCAATATTTTTATTCAGCAAGAATGCATTAAACTGATTGAAAGTGACTAAAAGACATTTATAATGTTAAAAAAAGATTTATTTTTCAAAACTAAATGTTTTAAAATTATAATAAAAATCAATGTTTCTTGAGCATAAAAATAGTAAACAGTCGTATTATTACATTATGAATATATAATAATGTAATGTATATATAATGACCAGCTGTCACAAAGACCATATACACACTCACAGACACACAATTTACCTTTAAAGCCATGTTCTGGGATTATGTTGTGTGAACCTGTGAAGAAAGCAGAAGACATGAATAAATTAATTATCAAAGTGAGTGTATCAAACAATAAAACCAAAATAGCAAACCATTTTATATGTTTGAAAAGGAAATGTCTATGAAATAGATGGCAATCAGATCATTTTTCATGGCACAGTTCCAAACCATCATGACATTTCCTTACTAATTTAAAATTTGTTCCTCAATTTTTTTCTTTAAACGTGACTTATGATAATTATAATTAGTTTTGGGTTAAAATAAGGACATTTTTGACAGTTTACACAATTGACTCATTACTCTAAAAAAACAACAATCTTGGGAAAGGTTAACATACTGTATTGTCTACAACACTTGATCTTGTCAACCCTGATGTAAGGCTGTGACCTTAATTATCTCTACCGCCTCAAACTGATTTAATGTAACAAACTGAAGAGAGCCACCAAACCTGATGCACAGCGTTACTAAAACTAAAAGGGATAGCTCACCTTCATTTGCTGGTCCCCATTGACTTGCATAGTGTGTTTTTTTTACTATATATTAACTATATATTTTACCCATACTATGTAAGTCAATGGGACCAGCGACTAAAGGGGAACTATCCCTTTAAGAAACGCACAACCTTTTAAAGATATCAGAAGTAGCAATACAAACAATAGTCCTTTCAACACACACAATAATGCTATTCTTCACTGTGGTCAAGTATGGGAAGTAAACTCAGATTAAACCAAGATGATAATATCTCAAACGTTTTTTGTCCATCCAGCTGGAGTCCAAAAACATACACATTAAAAAGTACACATGGTCTCCCTTCACCTAGGCTGTGTTTACAAAAATACACACATGCAGAAATAGACACTCATTCAGTTATGTGGATATTAGAGGAATAAAGGTGTATTTAATAGCAGTTATTGGTCAAATAAATATCTGGTGTACTTGAACTATACTTAACTGCTTAACAGCCAGTGAGTGACTAAGAAACACTTACATGCACGTGCACACACAAAGGATATCTTTTCTCAAAACAATGTATCTTATTGAAAATTCAATGGTTATGTCCTATAATCATCCTCATTATCATAGCCACTGTTAGTGCTGTCGGTTAAAACTGTGCTACCGTTTAGGATGATATTAAAAGAGAAAAGAAGATCATGAAGTTACCTGTGTGCAGCCAAATCTGTGCTAACCAAGCCCTACTGCATTACAAGGCATATTAAAAACAGGCACGCACACACATACACAGAGCTCCGTTTTGAAAATAAGGAAGTTTATGACTCGGGTAACCATCCCTGCTATTCTTCAGATAACTATATAACTAACATTTTTCCTAGCGTCACGGTGCTATCAAACCAGTAATCTCAACATGTGCTGGTCAAACACGTTACTTTTAGAAATTGAAGGAAGCAAGCTTATGAATTTAGGTCCACAAAGTCAGAAGACAGTTTCGATCAATTTGATGAATTTGATCAATGAATGAATGTATCAGTAGCACCTGCAGTTTAGAGTACTGACTGCAGCAGGGGTTGTGACAGTTTTGTATTGTTTTAATATGACGTAACGAACAAGTTAAAAATGTACTACAGTCCTTGCAGTTACAGTGACGGATATGTTTTTTCAAGTATGAAAGATAGCTAGATTTTTCCTTTTGTATCGGCTAATGTGGTTTTCCGAATGTTTTAGTGCGTTGTTACACAATGTAAACACAATGCGCATGCGCGGTATGCAGCAAGCGATTGGGTGAGAGCTGCGCGCGAACAACAAAACGTTTGTTGAAATCCGCTTCCGCAATCGGAGTATGCCGTTTCTCAATGAAAGTCCCTAGTCCCTAGAAAGTTTTGTATTGTTTTAATATGACGTAACGAACAAGTTAAAAATGTACTACAGTCCTTGCAGATACAGTGACGGATATGTTTTTTCAAGTATGAAAGATAGCTCGATTTTTCCTTTTGTATCGGCTAATGTGGTTTTCCGAATGTTTTAGTGCGTTGTTACACAATGTAAACACAATGCGCATGCGCGGTATGCAGCAAGCGATTGGGTGAGAGCTGCGCGCGAACAACAAACCGTTTGTTGAAATCCGCTTCCGCAATCGGAGTATGCCGTTTCTCAATGAAAGTCCCTAGAAATCAGTCTGAGGGGTAAGTAATCGCATCTGTGCCGCTCACAGTTTTATTAATAAACCTTTGAACTTTGATACCGGCCTAAAACTGTCATTTCGTGTAACTTAGAGAACATGCTTTAATTGTGTTTTTTTTCTATCGCTGCTATCTGTCTATAGACGCAGAGAAGATGGACGAATTCTACAGGTAACGTTAAAACAATATGCAGTGTCTCTTGCCGGAATATGTATTTTACTGTCCATATTGACTTAATGGCATGTAACATGATACTTTTTAATACCTCGCTCACAATAACATCATTCGTTTTAACTATTTTATACTTTTTCAGAATGATTCTGTACCTTTTTCATCTTTTAGCCGGAAAGTAGGGATGGATGGATTTTGAAGTATCGATACTTTCGATATTGATGTTGTATTGAAAGGATCGATCCTCACATTAAAATATCGATCATAAGGTGCATTTTAACCATTCATTTTTATTGATTTGGCAAGAAATTCAGTGCCTAAAGTAAACGTCTAATTGGAAAAATAGACTATATTAGCGAATAACTAATATAGGATAGAAGTAGGATATAACTATATTTCTCCTGCTCATCGGAACATACGCAAATGCTGAAAGACACAACTTAACAAAACACAGACAGCGTTCACTGCTGACGCTATTGCTCACAGTGCTTGTTCAAATAGGGCTGCGTTTCCCAAAGGCATCAGAAGCATGAGTAGATCTTGGTCTCTGCACTAGCTTAGGCCCACGATGCATTTGGGAAATCAGCCTAGGCCAGATCAATGCTTATCAGAGGATAGAGAAACAATAGGGAGTTATTTCACAATAAACTATTGCACATTTCATATATGTCGTTCATTCAATTCTGAAAAATGTATCACGGTTTCCACACAAATATTGGGCAGCACAACTGTTTTCAACATGAAAGATCACCCTGGTTGTTACATTATTTGGGGTAGGCTATCACAATAGAATTTATTGTAAAATTTTTAGCAAAGTGATTATGGATCAGCTAAAATGTATAAGGCAACACAAAAATATTGTTTTAGCCAATAAATATTGTATATAATGAAAAGTGTAAATTTAAATTAAAAACACATCTGACTACTTGCCCTGACCTGCTGTAAAAATAAACAAACAAAACAAACAAAAAAAAATTTTCCCACAACATCTTGATTTTGGGAAAAAAATTAATGTCCATTTACACATGTACAGTTCATCTACTTTGAGTTTGACCAAAAAAAAAAAATGTTTTAATGTGGTTGATATTAGTATGTGGGTGTAATTTTTTGTTGTTGTTCCTGTGTAACCGTTTTTATTATTTTTGCAGGAACCGACAGGAGGGGAAGGAGGCTGCCATGCGTGGTGATCTGCCTCATGCCCTTGAGCTGTTTCAGCTGGCTTACCAGCTGCAGCCGAGTGACAAGCTGAAGAAACGGATCCAGACCATACAGGGTCTCATTCAGAGAGATGAGGAGGAAGATGAGGAGGAAAATGAATTTGTGGATGTGAATAATAGTGGATTGAAGCTTTATAAATGGCTCTACGATAAACTGTATGACCATCAGAGAGAGGGTGTGGCATTCCTGTACAGTCTCCACCGCGACGGTAGGAAAGGAGGAATCCTGGCTGACGACATGGGCCTTGGCAAGACCATTGAGGTAATTTCATTTTTGTCAGGGATGTACGATGCAGAGTTGGCCAATTATACCCTGTTAATCATGCCTACCTCGCTCATAAAGAACTGGGTACGTGAGTTCAACAAGTGGACTCCTGGCATGAGGGTGAAAGAATTTCACGGCGCCAGCAAAGCTGAGCGGAACAGGAACCTGGAGCAAATCCAGCGCAGAGGAGGAGTCATCATTACCACCTACCAGATGCTCATCAACAATTATGAGCAGCTTGCATCATATGACCAATGTGAGTTCGAATGGGACTACGTCATCCTGGACGAGGCCCACAAAATCAAAACCACATCCACTAAAACGGCTAAAAGCGCTCACGCCATCCCCGCTAGACACCGCGTGCTACTGACGGGCACTCCAGTTCAGAATAACCTACAAGAGATGTGGGCTCTGTTTGAATTTGCTTGCCAGGGGTCGCTTCTGGGAACCTACAAAACGTTCAAAACTGAGTATGAGAATCCAATCACACGTGCGAGAGAGAAAGACGCCACTCCAGGAGAGAAAGCTCTTGGATTGAGGATTTCTCAGAACTTGATGGACATCATCAAACCTTATTTTCTTAGGCGGACCAAAGCAGATGTTCAGCACAAAAAGCATAAACGTGAAGAAGGCTTTGAAGACGAGGAAGATCAAGAGAACAAATGTCCAAATGCTGGCAATGGCATTGAAATGCCATCGCTGACGCGAAAGAATGATCTCATCGTGTGGACGCACCTCAGCTCGGTGCAGGAGGACATTTATAAAAAGTTCATCTCGCTGGACCATATTAAGGAGTTGCTGACGACTAAGAGGTCGCCACTGTCTGAGCTTATAGTGTTAAAAAAGCTTTGTGACCATCCCAGACTCCTGTCTAATCGAGCTGTGACTCAACTAGGCCTGGAGCAAGGTTCTGCCTCTATCCATCCAGATGATGAGACTGAGTCGGCTGTGAGTCAGATCAATAACCTCTCAGATGACACTTTGGTTGCAGAGTCAGGGAAGCTGCAGTTTCTCGTGTCTCTAATGGAATGTCTCCGTGAAGAGGGCCATCGGACCCTGATCTTCTCCCAGTCGAGGAAGATGTTAGACATCATGGATCGTGTCCTGTGTAACAGAAATTTTCGCCTTCTGCGCTTAGATGGCACAGTGACACAACTAGCAGAAAGGGAGAAGCGTATCAAGTTGTTTCAGACAGACAAACGCTACACAATCTTTCTTCTCACCACTCAGGTGGGTGGAGTCGGCATCACGTTAACTGCAGCAAACCGTGTCGTGATCTTTGACCCCAGCTGGAACCCCGCAACAGATGCTCAGGCTGTGGACCGTGCCTACCGAATTGGCCAAACCAAAAATGTCATCATCTATCGACTCATCACCTGTGGCACTGTGGAGGAGAGAATCTACCGCAGACAGGTAAAAAAAACACTTTGAATCACAAAAGGATGTACAAAAACTACAAACTAATCAGGGCTCGAATTTCGGCGCATAATTCTACTGATTCCCGCAGTTTCCGCGCTTGTAACGCAGGAAATTCCTGCAAATATTTCAGCGTGAAAGATGCTTGGGACAGATGACTAAATGTACTATTTGCACTTGATTTTGAATCTTACAATTTTAAACACTCAAGTGCTCAATTCAGTACTTGCGCGACTACAGAATGAAGTTGTGTTGCGCCTTATTGCGCGTAAACGGCCAAATAAATGCCCGTCTTGATGAGTATTCATGTAAACAGTCGATTTATATTAAACACTGTCAGTAAATAGGCTATTAAGTGAATGTAAACAGTTGAGAAACAAAACTTATGTGTAACAGTTAGTGCATGAGGTCTTAAAAGAGACAGCAACCTAAATAAACCTGCTGCTGTCTGTCATTAATGTTTATTTATACATCGAAGACTAACCAGTGTTATTTTAAAGTTAAATAGATTATTCAGTTTCTGTGGTATTTCTGTACCTGAATATTACTGTTATACTTACCTGCAAAACTTAAAGCACAGTTAATTTTAGTTGTAACTTGTTATTGTATTTGTTTGTGCAATTGCTTGTCATTTATGATCTATTCCTATTTTAATACTGACTGTTTAATTGTCTTTTTTTAGTTCAAATAAATTCAATACAGAGTTTGAATTCAAAGTTCTTTTTAAGTATCTTTTTCACAATATAAATATGAATCAACAACATTATAAATTGTAAAACACAAATACACTGGGTGACGAAACATTTAGGTTGGATGATTGTAGTTTAAAAATATTTCTAAAAAAAATAGCCTAACTCCCTCCTCAAATAAAAAAAATCCCCCCATAAGAGCCACCTAATGGGGGAATTCCCCCCGCCCCATTTTCAAAAACAAAATTCAGGCCCTGCTAATAATAAGCAATGCCTTATGTTTACATATGGATGTTTTGCCAATAGTCATTCTTTAAGGTTGTTGTGTGGGTATACTCTTTAAAAAAAATTTTTTTAAAGAAAATATGAACTACTAAATAATTACACTCTTTACATTCATATTGTACATGTTTGTTTTTAGTCCACTTCAGTTGTGATTCTGGCAGTCCATTTTACATTCACACTTTTGTTTTTGGAACACAATTACTTTGAATATAATAATAATAATAATAAATTATAACATTTCAAGAACTTCATTATATTAATTATTATTTCTGTTATTAAAAAAATCAAGACATGTATTGTTTTTTTCTAATAGTACTGTTGAACTTTAAAATAAAAAATGATAGTATTTATTAATTTGTTGTTGTTTTTGTTATTATATATCTGCAGGTGTTTAAAGACTCTCTCATCCGGCAGACAACCGGCGATAAGAAGAACCCTTTCCGTTACTTCAGTAAGCAGGAGCTGCATGAAGTGTTTAACCTCGAAGACACCCGCTCGTCCACCACTCAGCAGCAGCTACAAGCAATGCACGCACACCACCGCCGCTCTGACACCAGCCTGGACCAGCACATCGCTCGCCTTCACACCATGGAGATGTTTGGCATCTCTGATCATGACCTCATGTTCACTAAAGAGGTGGCAGCTCATGAAGATGACCCAGAGGATGAAGAGTCACATAAGTACATACAAACACGTGTCCAGAAAGCACAAGAGCTTATGCAGGTGGAATCAGAACTGCATGGCCAGCTTATGGACAGCGTGGCCCAGAACACAGAACCTGCTTGGCTCATGCAAACAGGGCAGCCGAAATCTGCTAGTAGAGACCACCCAGCCCCTCCACATAGCAAAAACAAGCCAGTGACAGTGGATCTGACATACGACTGCTTCGATGAGCCAGACCTAGAGGAAGAGGAGCAGAACTTTCCAACATTTGAGGATGCGGAGGTGGAAGTTGTAAGTAAAGAAGTGCAAATTGTAGATGAAGAAGACCAAGTGAAAAACGAGCTGTATGATAATGGTGCATCAGAGAAACACAACTCTGTGCACGACTTGCCAAGTCCTTCTCGCCATTTTCCAAAGTTGGAAGAACTTTCAATAGCATCGGATGCCCTTGATAACCAGGAGGTTCAGGTGGACAAGCCCAATTTGACTGTGCTTTCGTCACCCCAATCTCCACATGAGGCCACAGCGGGAGAGTCTTTTAAAGCAGAGGGGGAAATGCTTCAGGGAAACTTCAACTTGCAGCTGGAGGACAGTGTAGATATGTTCTCCATTGAAGAAGAGAAAGTTTGTGATGTGGAGGAGTCACTAGCAGAGGAAAGTCCTGAGTTTCAGCTTCAGATGGATGTCAGTGGAGAAAGGCTGGAAGAAGCAAGTATCCATGAAAGCAGACAATATGGTAACCAAAGCAATGGTGAAATCAGTAACTGTAACAACAGTGAGATCTTCAACCCTAACATTGGTGAAGTCAGCAAGCATGAATCTCTTCTGAGAATACGTTCTGCTCCAGACACACCTGCGGAAGACTCCTTTGTGCATTCCGTTCGGAGAAAGAAAAGGCAGATAATTTCTGATACTGATGAAGAAGAGGAGGAGTCGGAGAAGCCATGTTTAACAAGCAATCCATTGGCTGATGGCCTCAGCAGGCTGGTCTCTTCAACACCGATATCCACTTTGACTGACGGTGGCCGACTCCGGCGCAGCTTGAACACTTCCGTGGCATCAAGAAGGTCCTTCATAGTGTCCATGCTGGAGAATGAGTCTGATGAGGAGTCAGAAGAGCCCAGCGAAAATAAAACAAATTTCTATGATATATCAGAAGCTAGTGAAACTCATGCAGATGAATCTGTGGTGGAAGAGGAGGAGCCCAGTGGAGGCAAAACCAAATCCTATGAGACCTCTGAAGCCAGTGAAACTCACGCAGATGAATCTGTGGTGGAAGAGGAGGAGTCCAGTGGACGCAAAACCAAATCCTATGAGACCTCTGAAGCCAGTGAAACTCACGCAGATGAATCTGTGGTGGAGGAGGAGGAGCCCAGTGGAGGCAAAACCAAATCCTATGAGACCTCTGAAGCCAGTGAAACTCACGCAGATGAATCTGTGGTGGAGGAGGAGGAGCCCAGTGGAGGCAAAACCAAATCCTATGAGACCTCTGAAGCCAGTGAAACTCACGCAGATGAATCTGTGGTAGAGGAGGAGGAGCCCAGTGGAGGCAAAACCAAATCCTATGAGACCTCTGAAGCCAGTGAAACTCACGCAGATGAATCTGTGGTGGAGGAGGAGGAGCCCAGTGGAGGCAAAATCAAATTCTATGAGACCTCTGAAGCCAGTGAAAGTCATGCAGATGAATCAGCAGTGGAAGAAGAGGAACCCAATGGAGATAAAACCGAATCCTATCAAATATCTGAAGCTGGTGAATCACAAGCTGATGAGTCGGTGGTGGAAGAAGAGGAAACCAGTGGAGGCAAAACCAAATCCTATGAGACCTCTGAAGTCAGTGAAACTCACGCAGATGAATCTGTGGTGGAGGAGGAGGAGTCCAGTGGAGGCAAAACCAAATCCTATGAGACCTCTCAAGCCAGTGAAAGTCATGCAGATGAATCAGCAGTGGAAGAAGAGGAACCCAATGGAGATAAAACCGAATCCTATCAAATATCTGAAGCCAGTGAATCACAAGCTGATGAGTCGATCGTGGAAGAAGAGGAAACCAGTGGAGGCAAAACCAAATCCTATGAGACCTCTGAAGTCAGTGAAACTCACGCAGATGAATCTGTGGTGGAGGAGGAGGAGCCCAGTGAAGGCAAAACCAAATCCTATGAGACATCTGAAGCCAGTGACACTCACGCAGATGAATCTGTGGTGGAGGAGGAGGAGCCCAGTGGAGGCAACACCAAATCCTATGAGACCTCTGAAGCCAGTGAAACTCACGCAGATGAATCAGCAGTGGAAGAAGAGGAACCCAATAGAGATAAAACTGAATCCTATCAAATATCTGAAGCCAGTGAATCACAAGCTGATGAGTCGGTGGTGGAAGAAGAGGAACACAGTGGAGAAACTTTCAACTCAGAAGAGTCAGAAAGTCACGAGGAGCTTGAAGAGGTGGAAGAAAGTGTAGATTCAAGAAGATACCAGGAGGAAGAAGAATGGCACAGCGCCCTGCTTGAATCCACTGCTGATGTTGAACTAGACTCCAATGAAATGATGGACCAGTGTGCCCCTAAAACATTCCCTCTGGAAACACACATTCTTCCTGTTAGTTCCACAAGCAATGATGTGACTGCTGCTAAACCCTCTGAGAACACGTATGAGATGCTGGTCCTGTCTGGGAAACACTGTTTGGCAGAAGGGAGGAAGCAAGAGGCTCTGGATTTCTTTCTAAAGGCCATAGACATTAATACTGGTGATACAGAGATCCAGCTCTTGATTATTCAGGTGTACAGGCAACTTAGCCAATAGGGAAATTAAAACGTGCACAACTATGTGATGTTTTATTAACAAATTTCGGGAGGAGCACACGCAGATAATTAACACGGCCAGTCCATCATTAGTAATTACACCATCTATCCAATCAGCACAAGAGAGAACCTCTATAAATAATCAAAGCAGCCTTACCTTCATTATCTCTAGTCTTCCAGCAAAAACCTACAAATCAGCTCCATTAAGAGTTATCTAAGTGGAATCTAATTTTTCCACAAACTCTTATACGGTTCACCCTCACCCCAGATAGCCAATTCTCAGACCTCCCTACTCATCAAAGGTATCCAAAGAGCCCATCCCATCCGCCCAGACACCAGGCAACCCATAACCTTACAAATATTGACCAAATGTATTTCTACCCTCCGCAGAGGTTATCATTCCATTCACACCGCCCGCACGCTTGATGCCATGTTCATCCTGGCTTTCTTCGGTTTTCTCAGATGCTCTGAGCTCGCTATCACATCTAGCTTCAATCCAAACATCCACCCCACTATCTCCGATCTAGCAGTGCTGAATGACGAAACCATCTCTTACTTCATTAACCAAAGTAAAACAGACCAGACCAAGAAAGGCCATTTCATTTTTATTTTCAACCTACAATCGCTCATACTACCATACCAAGCCCTCCTAGCCTTTGTCCAGCTCAGGAAATCACAGTCCAAACTCCCATCCGACCCCCTTTTTACAGACGACTCCAACCGCCCCGTCACTCGTTTCTGGTTTCAAAAGCACCTTAAATCCATTCTACTCCTATCCGGTACCCCAGCTGATAATTTTTCCAGTCATTCATTCCGAATTGGCGCAGCAACCACAATGGCCCAAAAAGGCCTCTCCCAGCAGCAGGTTGCTGGTTGTCAGAAGCTTTCAAGAGCTACATTCGATCAGACCGCTCCCACATCAAGGAAGCCCACCGAACCCTCATCGGCCAACCCCTTTGACGTCAGTATAGCCCCGGTCACTCAAACTTCAGACCCACCATAGTTGACCCCCTTTTTCATCACCTAATCCATCTATAATGACCCATCCCCACTCCAGCCATCCCAGCAGCACCCACTCCCACAGGAGCTTTACCTAAATTCCCACACTGCTGCAGCAGTGCCCGCTCCCGCAGGAGCCATACATAAATTCCCACACTGCCGCAGCAGTGCCCGCTCCGGCAGGAACTCTTCCAGATTTCCGCAGTGCCTGCTCCCACAGGAGCTCTTCCATGTTTCCCCTCCGCCGCAGCAGCTTTTTCATATTTCCCCACTGCCGCAGCAGTTCCCGCTCCCGCAGGAGCTCTTCCATGTTTCCCCTCTGCCGCAGCAGCTTTTTCAGATGCCGTAGCAGTTCCCACTCCCACAGGAGTTTTTCTTTTTCAGATGCCGCAGCAGCGCCCGCTTCCACAGAAGCCTCTAGTTCTCTCTTCTCAGCAGTGCCGCTACTACAAGTGATGTTCAGCACCCCACCAATCTTAAGCTTAAAAAAGAAATTGCAAACTGAAATTAAACATACTGAACTGATCAGAGGGCCTAAATAAGAAAAATGTGTATGTTAATACTGTTTCAAGGATTTTCCGATAATTCCTCTGAATGTTTTTCGTTACTTAGATTTGTATGTTTCTTTTGTTTCAAACTCTTCAAATTATCATAGTCTGACATATACAATAATTGTGGAGAAAAAATAAATAAATTTTCAGAGGTTTTGTAGCTTGTTTCCTGGATGATTTTTCTGCGTTCCAGATTTGAATCTACATTATAGAATTGTATTTCCTGAATATCAAACCTTAGCTGTTCAAGTTTTCCCATTAACTTTCTTTTCTGTGGTAACTGACCCTGTGTCACAGATGTAGTATATGCAGTCTATAAATACTTTTCTGCCGAAGTAGTTTAAGTGCATTACAGTAAGATTACTGAAAGACGGTACTCTTATCATTGTATTTATTATATAACATGAGATCAGAATTAGTTTTGATAAAACAAAGATCAGAATTACAAAGTAACAGGGATGATATGCCGTTACAGATTAATTATTAGTGAGCATAAATGATTTTATTAATTTATTTAATATAAACTCATTCTTGGGATTAAAATTTATTGACAGCTAGAACTAAATTCAGAGACAATTCTATCAAGCACAGGAGACATGAGCTTGTAAAGACAGTTTATTGGTTTATTTCTAGGCATATAATTATGGCTTGATGCTCATGCCACCATGCACATCATCTACAGTAATCACAACTTTAAGTCACAGCTGTACCGTGTTTAGAGATTGAAGCTGAGACACTTGGAGAAGTTCAGAAGTTCCCTGCAGGCTAATTAAACAGTTTTTCAAGTAAGCTTTTTTTGTGCAACCACACTATATAGAACAATTAAACCACAAAGCCGTCAACTCTCATACCCACCTACTTCTAACATGTACACCTGCAACACCCATAGACTATCACACCAATGGGTTTTTGGTTTGGACCACAACTCTGTATTTCTTCAATGTTAAGGAATAAAGTCAGGACTCCCAATATAACTGGTTTACATTTGTCAAGAACTTCTGAGACTGAAACTACATTGTTAAGCACAGTGATGACACCAGAAAAGGAATGTGACACTAATATTGAGTTAATTACTGGTAAACTAGGGCTTTAAAATGGGCTTACCGCCTTTAATTCTTTATAATATACATGCTGTATTCACTGATGGTCATATTTCTCTAATGTGCTAATGTCCTGCGGAACAAGCATTTAATAGCAAAATTAGGGGTTCATTACAGTGATGCAATGCAGGAAATGTTAGTTGAGCTTAAAATACACAGCAATTACTCAACAAAACAGTTCATAATAATACTGTTACAAATGAGAGAGAGAATCGACTTGCAAAGAAACCTTTCTATCACGTATTTCTAACTACAAAGAGTTATTATTTCATACTTCATACAGTTATGCTTCCTAAAATATAAGAGTAACCAATCAAGAGTGTTCCGTCTCTATCCAGTGATGACGATGTCATTGGAAAATGTTGAACTCTGGCATAAGATACCTTCATGTCCAAACCCTCTTACCAGCAATTTTGGCCATCCACATCTGTACGTATATAAACATACACACAACACACACGTCTAGTGAACATTTCACACTTGAATTAAATTCTGTCCATAATATCGAATCACAGCTTCAATACACATTGGTTTTTGTGCTGTAAAGATTAAAGGCAGAAGGACTTCATTTTTAATGAGGACAACATTGAAACTAGACGGACAAATTTCACACTCATGCCCAGCAGTGTTTCTTTCATTTTTTGTCAAAAGAGATGAGTAGTTATCCCATTGCAGTCAGCTGCACCAATGTAGTCTGTCACATTACCTGGTAAATGAACAGAAATATATCTTGTTTATGATGACAAATCTATATGAAAATAAGAACAAAACATGTTTATCTAATTGGAACTTACCAGTCAAGAATTGTGAGGAACTTTATATACACTATAGCTCAAAACTTTGGAATCAGTAATTTTTTTTATTAAAGAAATGAATACCTTTATGCAGAAAGGATGATTAAATGGATTAAAAGTAACATTAGAGATATTGACATTGATACAAAAATGCTGTTCTTTTGAACATTCTATTCATCAAAGAATCCTGAAAAAAGATTTCCACAAATATTTTGAGAAGCACAACTGTTTTCAACATTGATAATAGTCAATAAATAGTCTGTAAAAGTCATACCGACTCCAGACTTTCGAATGGTAGTGTAGATCTGTTACTGCTTACTATCTATGTGCATGCAAAATTATACAAATTATGTTCAACCGACTTTGTACCTTATTGTACATGGTGTTTGTCAGAGGATGGAGGGATGAGTTTAGAATCGGATCCAGGGCTACAGACCCCTTCTATTAGATTCTTGTTGCAGTCGCCCAAGCTAGCAGCAGGAGAGAGTCTGGGATAAGCTACTTGTCCTGTCAGATCCAACAGGTCCTCTAGAGCACACATGTTATTCATTCCATTCTGCTGCGGAGAGTTCACTGGGGAGAATTCTGGGATGGAAATTAACTCCTCCCTCGAAACAGGGCTGAGAACAGAAAACAAAAACAAAGAAGACCACAATATTCCCAGTAAATAGGAGTTACTGTAGTGGGGCCTCATATTCCCCAAATGTTGATAATTGGGCAATATCTGTTCAGAATAATGAATTGTATACCGAAGATACCAAATATACAAAAAATGTACATGTCATGAAACATATTTTTACAATGAAGAATGTTTTTAAAACGGCTAAATATTTTCTTATAATTGAATATGGAATTTATATAGGGCCTATTCGTTTATATAAATTTAAATTGTATTTTATATTTACTGTGTAATATAATATATTGTGTAATATATATCTACATATTCTTATTTTAAGATTATTTCAATCTTACAATTGTTTGTTTTTTAACATTTTCATTTGTTTGTCTTTTTTCTGCTTTTCTTCATCGATTTTGAAAGATACTGTATATATACCATCTTGTTCAAAGTTTGCCTACAAATCAGGTCTCAGTAATGATTACATTACATATAACAATTAAGGAGATGATAGATTGCTGCACATCAAGTATTAGTCTGTGTAAAAATCATAAATGCATTTTATTCTATTTTTTTCAAATTTTTATAACCTTTTGTTTTACTGTGATGCAGTTCCTACCTGGTCAGTGTAGGGCAGTCCAGTGTACAGGATATGTTGACACAGTCACTGTGTCAAACTCACCTAACCTCCATGTACTGCACTTCATCTGCAGAGTCCTCTGCCGCTCCACTCTTCCCCTCCAAAGTGTCCAGACGAATAAGAGGCAGAGGGGGTTTTGACTCTTGCAAGGAGGTAAATGAAGAGGGTAGGTTGTCATTCCCTCCCTCCTTTGATTTCACCTGTGTTATCGTATGTCTACCGGCCTGAGTGAAAGTCTTTGCTTGTGGGACAGTTACCGTTGAACTCCGCTGTGCATTGGCATGGGGGATGTCTGATTTCTTCCCAGTGATATCCTTCCTGGGTCCCTGAGCTGTGGCCTGCCCATTCATTTGTACAGGATCAGCTGTTTTGACTTGGTTACTGG